GAGAGCGTTGCAGTAGTCTAAGAGCGGATGTAACCGGTGTGGACCACACTGGCCAAGTCAGACTTCCCAAGGTACGGGCGCAGCTGGCGCACGAGCTTTAGCTGTGCAAATGCTCCCCTGGTCACCGCCGAAACCTGAAGTTCCAGGCTCAGCGATGAGTCCAGGATCACTCCCAAGCTGCGAACCTGCGTCTTCAGAGGGAGTGCGACCCCATCCAACACAGGCTGTAACCCTATGCCCTGTTCAGCCTATACTATTTAGGATTTAATTGGCGTCTATTCAATGGATTAAGCTCAGGGTGCACCTACACTATGAAATTATTATTATTATTATTATTTCGGTTACTTCTACACCTCCCTTCTCACCCCAGAGGGGGACTCAGGGCGGCTTACAAAGGCACAATTCGATGCCGGCATCAACATAACAGTAGAATAAAAACAATATAGCAGCAATTAAACAATTAACAATCAGTTTCTGCACTGCAACAATAAAACCAATAAAACCAATAAAACCGATTTCACCTAATTAACGCTCAGCGTTCGCCATCTCATAGTCCAAATTCCAATTCCACTTTGTCAGTCCTGTCAGTCCTAGTCGTCTAATTGTCTTTATCTAGTTGTCAGATTGCCCGAAGGCCTGGTCCCACAACCACGTTTTTAATTTCCTCCTGAAGGAGAGGAGGGATGTTGATGACCTAATTTCCCCCGGGAGTGAGTTCCACAGGTGAGGGGCCACCACTGAGAAGGCCCTGCTCCTCGTCCCCACCAACCTCGCTTGTGATAGTGGTGGGGTCGAGAGCAGGGCCTCCCCAGATGATCTCAGACTCCGAGGTGGGACGTAGAGGGAGATGCGTTCGGACAGATACGCTGGACCGGAACCGTGTAGGGTTTTATAGGTCAAAACCAGCACCTTGAATTGTGCTCGGAACTGAACCGGCAGCCAGTGGAGCTGACACAACAGAGAGGTGGTGTGCTCCCTGTATGGCGCTCCGGTGAGCAATCTGGCTGCCGCTCGCTGGACCAGTTGAAGTTTCCGAACAGTCTTCAAGGGCAACCCCACGTAGAGTACGTTGCAGTAATCCATTCGGGATGTAACAAGAGCGTGGACCACTGTGGCCAGATCAGGCTTCCCAAGGTATGGGCACAACTGGTGCACAAGCATTAATTGTGCAAAAGCTCTCCCGGCCACCGCCGAGACCTGGGGTTCCAGGCTCAGCGAAGAGTCCAGGATCACTCCCAAGCTGAAATTAATGTAGTTTGACCTCACTTGAACTGACTTGGATCAATGAATCATGGGAATTGTCGTTTTACAAGGTCTTTAGCTTTCTGCACCTAGAGTGCCAGTGCATTGCCAAACTACAAGTTCCAGGATTCCATAATAAAGGGAAATAAGTTTTGAACTACAGCTTCTATCATTCCCCAAAGTTGGTAATTCCAGCTTTGGCACATTTCAGCCTGGGCAGGCTATATTACGCACAGCCAGCAACCTCAATTACACACAGACATTGTTATTGGTATTTTCTTCCTTTCTGCTGCTTCAAATTTGTTCTTCCCAAAAAGACATCTTGACAATATTGGACTCCGTAAGTCAACATGATATGCTGCCAGAAACCAGATGTGTCCCTGCATGACACGAGGGAAGGAGGCATGTGCAAATGAAGTCACCCCTTTTGTTGTTGTTGTTGTTGTTGTTGTGCTGGAATCTATCTTCCTTTTGCACTTGCAGAAGGAAGTGAGAAACCATGGGGCTCATTGGCAGGAGAAGACCAAAAGTGGGAAAGTTTGTCCTCACAGATTTCTAGGAATGGAACGAAGCACATTAAACTCACTCATTTGCATTCTCATGGTAAAATGGGATGCCTGTATCAGCAGGTCCTGGTCTAAACTATCCGAAGGTGTGCTTGTACAGCTGTACCAGGAGCTCTAATTCTGTTTGCTTTGTATTAAATGTTTATTTGCAATCCCAGGCTTGGGATTTTGCAGCAGGATGGCTTCCTGTTATAGTTTGCAATCATAGGGCAAGCTACCTGTCAATTATCATTAGGTTCCCTGGTCCTGCCCCTTTTTGAGTTTTGGAGGGAATAGGAGCCTTTTTGAGTCAGTCCACACAAAGAAGCCTTTCACACAGGACATAAAACCAAGAGCTCCTGTAGAAAGCTTTGTCTTCTACGGCTTGGCCGGGGAGAAAAGGCCCCACAGCTTGGCTGAGGATATAGCCCACAGCTTGGCCGGGATCATACAGCCTTACAGCTCCTTTGCTGAGGGACTTCAGCCAGCCATCACAGAAACCTGAACTCCTTTTTCCCTGGAAGTCTACAAAGCTCTGCTTGGGTAAGGGTTGCTCGCGGAAGCCAGACGCAGTTGGTACCGGGTGCAGGGGCTCCACACTAACAGAGGCAAAGAAAGACTGCCCAGATTAGAAGTTAAGGATTTCCCCATTAGTTAGTATACAGTTATGAAGATAGTACCTGTTCCCAGTGAACAAGATGTGAACTACAACTCCAAAACTCAAGGTCAGTGCCCACCAAACCCTTCCAGTATTTTCTCTTGGTCATGGGAGTTCTGTGCGCCAAGTTTGGTTCAGTTCCATCATGGGTGGAGTTCGGAATGCTCTTTGATTGTAGGTAAACTATAAATCCCAGCAACAACAATTCCCAAATGACAAAATCAATTTTTTTGAGTGGAGGACATACATTGGGTTGTTAGGTGTCTTGTGTCCAAATTTGGTGTCAATTCCCCCAGTGGTTTTTGAGTTCTGATGGTATCACAAACAAACATTACATTTTTATTTATATAGATAGAAGCTTAGTAGATGCAAGGAATGTTGTTGATGTAGTATATCTTGATCTCAAAAAGGACTTTGGCAAGGTTCCCCATGGCATTCTCACAAAGAAGGGAATAAGATATGAATTAGACTATGGTACTGTGAGGGGGATTGGGAATTGGTTGACTGCAAGGATCTGTCCCAGGCCTTTCAGGGCCATTCAACATCTTTATCAATGACTTGGATGAAGGTATAGAGGGCATGCTGATCAAATCTGCAGATGACACCAAACTGGGAAGGAGACCTAATACTCCAAAGGAGAGGATCGGAACCCAGAATTGTTGTTGTTGTTCATTCGTTCAGTTGTCTCCGACTCTTCGTGACCTCATGGACCAGCCCACGCCAGAGCTCCCTGTCGGCCGTCACCACCCCCAGCTCCTTCAAGGTCAGTCCAGTCACTTCAAGGATGCCATCCATCCATCTTGCCCTTGGTCGGCCCCTCTTCCTTTTGCCTTCCACTTTCCCCAGCATCAATTGTCTTCTCTAGGCTTTGCTGTCTCCTCATGATGTGGCCAAAGGACTTCAACTTTGTCTCTAGTCTCCTTCCCTCCAGTGAGCAGTGTGGCTTTATTTCCTGGAGGATGGACTGGTTGGATCTTCTCGCAGTCCAAGGCACTCTCAGCACTTTCCTCCAACACCACAGCTCAAAAGCACCTCTCTTCCTTCGCTCAGCCTTCCCTAAGGTCCAGCTCTCACATCCGTAGGTGACTACAGGGAATACCATGGCTTTGACTAGGCGGATCTTTGTTGCCAGTGTGATGTCTCTACTCTTTACTATTTTATCGAGATGGGACATTGCTCTCCTCCCAAGAAGGAAGCGTCTTCTGATTTCCTGGCCACAGTCTGCATCTGCAGTAATCTTTGTACCTAGAAATACAAAGTCTGTCACTGCCTCCACATTTTCTCCCTCTATTTCCCAGTTGTCAATCATTCTTGTTGCCATAATCTTGGGTTTTTTTATTTAGCTGCAACCCAGCTTTTGCGCTTTCTTCTTTCACCTTGATTAGAAGACTTCTCAGCTCCTCCTCGCTTTCGGCCATCAGAGTGGTGTCATCTGCATATCTGAGGTTGTTAATGTTTCTTCCAGCAATTTTCGCCCCAGCTTTGCATTCATCCAGCCCCGCACATCGCATGATGTGTTCTGCATACAAGTTGAATAGGTTGGGGGAGAGTATACAACCTTGCCGTATGCCTTTCCCAATCTTGAACCAGTCTGTTGTTCCATGGTCAGTTCTTACTGTTGCTACTTGGTCCTTGTACAGATTCCTCAGGAGAGAGACAAGGTGGCTTGGGATGCCCATCCCACCAAGAACTTGCCACAATTTATTATGATCCACACAGTCAAAGGCTTTAGAATAGTCAATGAAGCAGAAGTAGATGTTTTTCTGGAACTCCCTGCCTTTCTCCATTCTCCAGCGGATATTGGCAATCTGGTCTCTCGTTCCTCTGCCTTTTCTGAACCCAGCTTGTACATCTGGCGACTCTCGCTCCATGTATTGCTGGAGTCTTCCTTGCAGGATCTTGAGCATTACCTTACTGGCATGAGAAATAAGGGCCACTGTGCGGAAGTTTGAGCAGTCTTTCGCATTTCCCTTTTTTGGTATGGGGATATAAGTTGATTTTTTCCAGTCTGATGGCCATTCTTCTGTTTTCCATATTTGCTGGCAGATTAGAGAGTGGGGTCAAACACAACAAACTTCAAGAGGGAGAAATGTACAACATATAGAAATAGCATGGGGTTTTTTTTTATCCAAGTCAGGAGCAACTTGAGAAACTGTTTGAAAGTTTTGGGGAAATGTTCACAAATCTCCTCTACATCTCCTCCTTTCCCCCTCCTTCCCTCTTTCTCTGAGTCCTGAAATAAAGAGGGAAGAACTATATTGTCTTGGCTCCCTCTGATATCTTTCTCTCACTTCCCTTAAATGGCATTTCTGCACATGGAGACCGTAGCCAAACAGGGCATTGAAATGAGAAGCTGAGCTTTGCACAGCTACTCTTAAAGAAGTAGTGCCATGCCGTTCAAAAGCAAAAATGCAAAATTACAACTCCACTTTTTGTGCCAAAATCTGGCTCAGTTAAAGGCAGAAAAAGATGGGAACACGGAGCAAACTTGTGATGAGTACAAGGCGTGTGTGGGGAGAGAAGAAGGGAAAGCCCTTTGTTTCCACTTCCTAGCCATGAGAACTGATAAGGAGTTCCAGATCCCTCCTGCCCACGAGAAAGGATTTGCTCATGTCCTGTGGGTGAGAACGAGCAAGGATAAACGATGGGAGAAGAAGCCCCGGATGCCAATTCTCATGGTAGTTGCCACCGCTGCGTGGAAAATGAGTAGGATGGAGACGGTGCCGTTCCCATACACAGACACACAGTCATCCCTCCAGATGTGTGGGTTTGGCTCTTGTGGATCTGATGGTTTGCAGATTTATTGCAATGGTCTCTTTTAGGAATCCCCAGGCCTGGATGAAGACCTTTAGAAACCCTAAGCATGGAAAAGATTTCGGTGCCCCCCTATAGATCTAAATCAAAATAGAAAACATAAAATACACTGCATTTTTTGAAATGAAACTAAAGCTATAGTAAGACAAAAAAATAATGCCTATTTATATTTGAAGAGTTCTCTACTTTTTCAAAGTCTTTAATTGCGGGATCTCCTTCTCACGGGATCTGGTTCAGCTGCAGTTTTGCACCATATGATCCAAAGTAAATTTGGCAATGGGGAAAAAAATCTATTGTGCCTCCCTTCATTGATACCCAAAGTACTAGCTTATTTGACTGAATGGCTAATCCATTGAATCATAGACCTATGGTGGTGCAATGGGTTTAACCCTTGTGCTGCTTGAAGTGCTGACCTGAAGGTGGGCAGTTCAAATCTGCGGGTTGGGGTGAGCGCCTGGTGTTAGCCCCAGCTCCTGCCAACATAAAAGGTAAAGGTTGTACCCTGACATTAAGTTCAGTCATGTCTGACTCTGGGGTGTGGTGCTCATCTCCATTTCTAAGCCGAAGAGCCGGCGTTGTCCATAGACACCTCCAAGGTCATATTGCTGGCATGACCACATGGAGCACCGTTACCGTCCTGCTGGAGCAGTACCTATTGACCTATTTATCTACTCAAATTTGCATGCTTTTGAACTGATAGGTTGGCAGAAGCTAGGGCTGACAGCGGAAGCTCACACTGCTCCCCAGAATCGAACCTGCGACCTTTCGGTCAACAAGCTCAGCAGCTTGTTGACCGCCGGGGGCTCCCCTGCCAACATAGCAGTTCGAAAATATGCAAATGTGAGTAGATAAATAGATACTGCCTTGGTGGGGAGGCAAACAGGCACTCCAAGCAATCATGCCGGCCACACGACCAGTAGGTGTTTACGGACAACAAAGGCTCCTTGGCTTGGAAATGGAGGTGAACACCTTCTCCAGAGCCGGAGTTGAGCACAGTCCCCAGAAGCCAGAGATGAATGGAGGAGCCTTTGCCTTTGTCTGTTAATATCTGTCTCATTGTATCAAGGTATTAATACAGATCTCACTACCTCAGAGGATGCTTGCCATAGATGCAGGTGAAACGTCAGGAGAGAATGCCTCTAGACCATGGCCATATAGCCCGAAAAAAACTACAACAACCCAAGGTATTGAATGTCTCATCAAAAGAAAGTCACCCTCAACCTCAGAAATATGGAGTGGATGAAGGATTCTGGGAAATCCAAACCCAGATAGGGAAATAAGTTGTCTGGAAATACCTGGCCTCTCTAAATGTATTGAAGTCCCCAGGGCCAGATCAACTACATCCAAGAAACTAGCAGAAGTCATTTCAGAACCACTGATAATCATCTCTGAGAGTTCCTGGAGAATGGGACTAGCTCCAGCAGACTGGAGGAGGGCAAATGTGATCCTTATCTTTTTAAAAAGGATGACCCAAACAATTACTATCCGGTCAGCCTCATGTTGATACCAGGCAAGGTGTGGTCTGCCTTGGTCAGACCACATCTGGAGTCACACTGTGTCCAATTCTGGGCACCGTAATTGAAGGGAGATGTTGACAGTCTTGAATGTGTCCAGAGGAGGGCAACCAAAATGATTAAGGGTCTGGAGAACAAGCCCTATGAGGAGCGGCTAAAGAGCTGGGCATGTTTAGCCTGCAAAATATGAGCCTGAGAGGCGACATGATGAGGGCCATGTATAAATATATGAGAGGAAGTCTTAGGGAGGAGGGAGCAAGCTTGTTTTCTGCTGCCCGGGAGACTAGGACGCAATGAAATAATGACTTCAAACAGAGGCGGCCCTAGGTAATTTTCAACGGTAAGCAAACAGTATTTTGCCCCCCCCCCCCAACCAATCACTGATATATATTTTCTGTTTGTCGTGGGAGTTCTGTGTGCCATATTTGGTTCAATTCCATCATTGCTGGAGTTCAGAATGCTCTTTGATTGTAGGTGAACTATACATCCCAGTAACTACACTTGCTGCATTTGCTCCCTTGCCTGGCCCGCTTTGGGTCCGGAGGCGTGCCTGAAGACCCCAGCGTGTGCACCAAAAGTCACCTCTTCTCCTGACTTTCTCCTCAGCCATTGGGACCAAGAGAGAGAGAGAGAGAGGTGGAGATGCCCACCTTTCCTGAAGGTAGGCGCAAAAACAAAGGAGGGAGCGGAGGTGGGAGATACCTCCAGCCAGAGGGGCTCTCTCTCTCTCTCTCTCTCTTGGTCCCAATGGCTGAAGAGAAAGTCAGGAGAAGAGGCTACTTTTGGTGCACACGCTGGGGTCTTCAAACACGCCTCCGGACCCGAAGCGGGCCAGACGCGGCGGCTCCACCCCTTGGCCCACCGCGGATTGGGGAGAGGAGAGGAGGCGGGTGGAGCGCCGGGGGATCAGGAAAGGGAGCCGGTCATGGGGAAGGGATCGAACGCAGAGAACGATTGAGCACCGGCTCTGCTCGCGCACCCGGTGGCCGGGTGGAGCAGGAACGAGAGGGGCTAGGCGAGGCTCAAGGGCCCGGCCCCTTTGAGAAGCGAGGCAAGAAAGCCGAGGCTCCCCCCGGACTGCTAGGGCTGTTGTGAACTGAGGGGGCGCTCCTCAAGTGGCGGTCGAGGGGCATTTACAGAGGCGCCTCTGCGCCCCTGGCAAAAAAAAGTGTTCTGCGACCGCTTACTTCGCGTAATGGACGAGCCGCCCCTGACTTCAAACTACAAGAAAGGAGATCCCACCTGAACAAGAGGAAGAACTTTCTAAGGGTCTGAGATAACTGTCCAGCAATGGATCTCTCTCTCTCTGCCCTGGAGTGTGGTGGAGGCTCCTTCTTTGGAAGCTTTAAAAAAAGAGGCTGGATGGCCATCTGTCGGGGATGCTTTGAATGCAATTTTCTGGCTTCTTGGTAGAATGGGGTTGGACTGGATGACCCACCAGGTCTCTTCCAACTCTATGGTTCTATGAAGAAATGCCCTGTTCCCTGTACAAAAAGGTGATTTGTGCACTGAAAGCTTCCTAACTGTGAGACCTGTTCAGCAGTGGAACTCTTTGCCCAGGAGTGTGGTGGAGGCTCCTTCTTTGGGGGCTTTTAAGCAGAGGCTGGATGGCCATCTGTTTTGGGTGCTTTGAATGCGATTTTCCTGCTTCTTGGCAGAATGGGGTTGGACTGGATGGCCCATGAGGTCTCTTCTAGGATTCTATGAAAACACATGGAGGGAAGGCTGGAGTTGGCCCTTGCTTGCTGTACACTGTAGAATGTAGTTTGACCCCACTCAGCCTGCCATGGTCGAATGCCAGGGGATATTGGGATCTGTAGTTTGGCGAGGCACCATCCCTCTTGGACAGAGAAAGGCCCCAGGACCCTATAGATCAGTGGTTTTCAACCTTGCTAATGCCGTGACCCCTTAATGCAGTTCCCTATGTTGTGGTGACCCACAACCATGATATTGTTTTCGTTGCTACTTGATACTTGTCATTTTACTACTGTCATAAATCATAAATATCCGCTATGCAGGATGGATTTTCATTCACTGGACTAAATTGAGCACAAATGCCCAATATGCCCAAATGTGAATGCTAGTGGGGTTGGGGGGGGGGGGGGGGGGAGGATTGATTTTGTCATTTGGGAGTTGTAGTTGCTGGGATTTATAGTTCACCTATAATCAAAGAACTTTCTGAACTCCACCAATGATGGCATTGAATCAGACCCGGCCACACAGAAATCCCATGACCAACAGAAAATGCTAGAACGGCTTGGTGGGCATTGACCTTGAGTTTGGGA